CCTTCTGCCTCCTCATTAACTCTGCCTTCCACAGAAAGGTACTTTTAAATACACACTTGACTGTGCAGTGACACCAAGTGGCTAGTTGAGGAATGATCAGATGTTAACAGGTTAAAAAAGAACAACTCACTGAGCCTGGCTAGATGGCGTATTTATCACTTTCCTCTGCTTAGGCTGCAGCAAAGAAAACTTCTGCAGACCTGGCTGGAATAGTACCTTTTAAAGAGATCCCCTTTCCCACCATAAGGAGGTTACTGGAGGTCATGTCAAAAGGACCAAGAAACCAACTTGAAGAGGTTCCCACAGGCCAAAGATGGGACAATTTGAGCATCAATAAGAATAATAACTGGAAAGAACTGAAACACATCAATTATGTCTGAATTCATACGTTTATATTGATACTCAAAAAAACAGAGATCAATGCTTCTTCCCCCTGGAGGATGTTAAGCAATGGAGTCATTATTCTGAAAATGGATAAAGAGAAGGTTTCCAGCTAAAGAGAAGGTATCCGGCTTTTCCTCTACGACTCTCTCTCAGGGAAACCAAATAGTAGACAAGGGAACTTTACCAAAGGATTTGCAGCTAATAAATGAAAAAGGAAAAACAGAGAATACTATCATTTGACAACCGCTAAGGAAACAAGGCATCCGGGTAATGGTATTCCGCGGCCACCAACATCACAGAAACAGAGGCAGGCAGATGTTATGAGTCCCTGATGGGCAAAACTGTCTGTGAAATATCTTTGCCCCAGACTCAAACTTGAATCTGATCACGCCTCTAGTTCCAACTACTAATTTCAGGCAGTATGGGGGGTGGGGGGGGAGGGCAGAGAAACATGTTTAAATGCCACAGAAAGATAATCAGCAAAATTCAGACTGTGGGGAACACTAAGACAAATGATCCACAAACTGCAAGGAAAAAGGGAAAAAGCATGGTGGTGAGGAAGTCTACCGATTAATAAAAGCTTCAGAGATGTACCAACCAATTGCAATAGATGGATCTTATTTGGATCCAGATTTAAACAAACTGTAAGAACAAATTATTGGAGAATCAGAGAACACTGAACACTGGATATTTTAAATTATTATGACATTAATGAATTGCTGTTAAAAGTTTAGGAATAATAAAGTAGTATGATTATATTTTTAGAAAGTCTTTGGTAGTCACATTGAAATATTTAGGAATGAAATACAATGTCTGGAATTCACCTAAAAATAATTCAGGGTAGGGACTGGGTGGAAGTTGTGAGGGTACACATGACACAAAATTCACCTGGAGTTAATTATCACTGAAGGTGAGGGATGGGTACACAGGGTCTCATTATCTTATTCTGTCATTTTATATGTTTGAAGATTTCCATACTAAAAAGTTAAAGGTCAGAGAGAAAAATTGTACCAAGTTATTATCCTGGGTTTGGAAAAAGAAATGACTACAAACTAGTCCCTTCTGCTTGAAGTCTTATGCAAACTGGTTTAATCACGTCAAGCTCCTTTCTTACGAAATAAGAAGGAACAAAGGGAAAGAATAATGACTGAAATTTACTACAGGTCACAGACATTAAGTACTTTATAAATAGTATCTTAGTAAATACTGAAAGTTACGCTCTAGCAATAATCCTGTGAGGTAGGTTGTATTATCATCACTTAACAGATGGGGAAACTAAGTCTCAAAGCAGCTGAGTAACTTCCCAAAGTGTCCTCCGGGATTCAAACTCAAATATACTTGTTCACTGTATAACACCAGGGTGCCTCCCAAGACACAGGAGAGAGGGTGGAAAGGACAGGACAGAGCAGAACTAGGATGACACAGCTGAGACACCTGGCGCAAGATTTAAGGAGGCGCTCACTCTCAGGGCCAACGTTGCATATACTTGGACAACTGTGAGAGTGAGTGCCTCCTTAAATTTTGCACAACGGGCGTCCCACTTCCCCACCCTAGTCCCTGCCCTGGGAAAAGACAGTCTTGACGGTCTTTAGGTAGAACCTGCTTTCTCTGCAGCCTCTGCGGTGAAGGCTGGAAAGGCTGTGTGAGAACAGAGTAGAAGAGCTGGAGGCTCCAGCTCTAGCTGCCCAGCTGCAGTACACGCACTGTCCTCTGGGGGGCTCTGCACCACCTGGCCTAGGACTTGCCTCGAGCAGCCAAGCTGGCACTCAGCATCAGTGTTAACTCTAGAGAAAGCTGCACCCTTGGGTGCAGAGCTGGAGCGAGGCAGCCAAACAGTAACCAAGTTTGGAGGCCCCTAAGAGTGGACAAAATCTGTCCAGTGTGAGATTGTTCATATTTATATTTTTCATGAGGTTGTTTTAGAGCAGAACCAAACCCCAACCTACGGCTCCTCCTGGTGAAGATCCTGGTCTCCGCCCGTCCGTGGTCCTGTGCCTGTCACACGGGAGGATTTTAACAAACGGGGAGTTACTGATTATCTAGAAGGGACTTGGCTTCTGAGGGGAGATTGGGGCCCAAAGAATAGAAGTTTGCAACCATTTGCACCTGTTACTCTCTAGTCAAGGGAACCTGACCCCAAATGAGGCCCTGGAAACAGGACTAGAATAATAGGATGCATGTGTGCTCTGCTCTGAGGACCACAGACCACGAGCCACTAAGAGGGTGGCAGTCCAGCTCTGGCAAACGCTCCCTGCCCTTCTGGCATTCAAGGGGAGCATGGGGTAAAAATGAGGTACCTCCAGCTCTTTATGCTTCCTGTATATTTATGACCCCCAACTACAGGGCTTGACCTAAATATTCGCTGCCTCCCAGAACCCTGCTGTTAATGCAGGTGTTCAGCTTAAGCTGAGGGGATACCCTCTGTATCTAAGTCAGTTCGGCAACTGGCTAAGGCATTTATTCAGAAACAGTGCAAATGTTTGTGTGCTGTAGGCAGAAGAAATTGAAGCGAGAAACTGTCAGGACTCAGTATTTCTTACTTAATTCATCAACAATATGAATTTAGAAAGAGAAATTTAAAAAAATCCCATTTACAATTGCATCAAAAAGAACAAAATACCTAGGAAGAAATTTAACCAAGGAGCTGAAAAATTGATACACTGAAAACTCTGAGACATTAATGGGAAATCTGAAGAAGAAATGAAAAGATATTCCATGCTCATAGATTGGAAGAATTAATTTTGTTCAAATGTCCATACTACCCAAAGCAATCTATAGATTTAATGCAATCTCTATCAAAATTCCAATAGAATTTTTTTTACAGAAATAGAAAAACAAACCTAAATTTTGTATGGAACTACGAAAGACCCTGAATAGCCAAAGCAATCTGGAGAAAGAAGAACAAAGCTGAAAGCATCACATTTCCTGCTTTCAAACTTTATTACAAAGCTATCATAATCAAAACACTATGGTAATGGAATAAAAACAGATACATAGATCAATGGACCAGAATAGAAAGCTCAGAAATAAATCCATGCGTGTATGGTCAACTAATTTACAACAAAGAAGCAAAGAATGTACAGTGGGAAAAGAGTAGTCTCTTCAATAAACGGTGTTGAGAAAACTAGACGGCCACACGCAAAAGCCTGAAACTGGACCACGATCTTACACCACACACAAAAATCAACTCAAAATGGATTAAACAGTTGAACATAAGACCTGAAACTATAAAGTTCCTAGAAGAAACCATAGAGGGTAACCTCCCTGACATTGGTCTTGGCAATGAGTTTTTGTATTTGACACCAAAAACACAGGCAATAAAAGCAAAAACAAATTAAGTGGGACTACATCAAACTAAAAAGCTTCTGCACAGCAAAGGAAACAATCAACAAAATCAAAAGGCGACCTACCAAATGGGAGAAAATGTTTGTAAATCATGTATCTGTAATGGGTTAATATCCAAAATATACATACTAAAAAAAAGAAAAAAAACTCATATAACTCTAGAGTTAAAAAAAAAACAAAACCCAAAAAATCTGATTCAAAAAATGGGCAGAGGATCTAAATAGACATTTTTCCACAGAAGGTACACAGATGGCCAACAGATATATGAAGAGGTGCTGGACATCACTAATCATCAGGGAAATGCAAATCAAAGCCATAACGAGATATCACCTCACCCCTGTCAGAATGACTATTTATCTTAAAGACAAGAAGTAACACGTGTTGACGAGGATGTGGAGAAAAGGGAACCCTTGTGCACTGCTGGTGAGAATGTAAACTGGGGCAGCCACTATGGGAACAGCATGGAAGTTCCTCAAAAAACTAAAAACAACTATCACATGATCCAGCAATTCCCCTACTGGGTATATATCCAAGGAAATGAAATCACTAGCTTGAAGAGATATCATCACCCCTATGTTCACTGCAGCATTATTTACAATAGCCAAGATGTAGAAATAAACTCAGGGTCCACAGACAGAAGAATGGATAAAGACATGGTGTATATATATGATGAAATATTGTTCAGCCACAAAAAGAAGGAAACACTGCCATTTGCAACAACATGGATAGACCTTGAGAGCATTATGCTAAATGAAGTAAGTCAGACATAGAAAGGGAAATAATATAATTTCACTTATACATGGAATTAAAAAAAAACTGAACTTATACAGAGAACAGGTTGGTAGTTGCCAGAGAGTGGGGTGGTGGTGGGGTGGGAGAAATGGGTGAAGGTGGCAAAAGGTAGAAACATCCAGCTAGAAGATTAATTAGTTCTGGGGATGTAACGTACAGCAAGGTGACTACAGTGAACAATACTGTATTGTATACTGGAAAGTTATTCAGAGATTGGATCTTAACATTCCTCATCTCAAGAAAAAAATCTGTAACTTTGTTAAATAAAGGATGTTAACTAAATTGCAGTAATCATTTCATAATCTATACACATACCAAAGCATTATGTTGTACACATTAAACTCATACAATCTTATGGGCCAATTATCTCTCAAAACTGGAAAAAATAAATTTAACACAAATGCTCACTGCGGATGATTCAAAAAGTGGTTACGGAAACCAAGTGCCGCCCTCGGATGTCTGAAGAATGGTCTCCTTACATGGAATAGACGGTGATGCTGTCCCTCTCTTCAATCTTAATGCTGTTGTCGCTGGGGACCGGCGGGCTGCTTTGAAACGCGTTTGGGATCCGGAACCAGACTTTTAATTTCTTCTGCAGGGAGCCGTCCTTGTCGGGGAACACGGCGAAGGAAATAGGGACTGTCATCCCCATCCCAATCCCTGAAAGCACAAAACCCCACAGAGTGAGGTGGGTGTCAGACGGAGCCCACTCAGGCCGGTGGAAGGTCTGTTAGCCTCATTCTTCTTCTAAGACGATACTTTTCTGTTCTTGAAATTAATACTCAACATTTCAAGCATGAAACTATACAGTCAGGCACACACAAAATACCTCTGATTTGTGTATAATGTGTGTATAATAGAGGCAAGAGTACAGGGATTCAACTTTTCTGGAAGAAATTATTTGGTAATCTATCAAGACTGCACATATATCTAATGTGATGTAACATATATAATATAATATATATATATAATATCTAATTACTTTCTACTTGATTGTCAATTTTAAGGAAATAATCCAAAATATGGAAAAATTTATAAGTAATAGGATTTCCTTACAGGAGAATTTATTATTGTGAAAAACTGAGATTAACATAGATGTTCAAAATAGGAATATGTCTAAAGTATAGGCACATTATGCAACATAATTTAGCTATTAATGATTATGCTTGACTATTTAGCTACTGTGGCAAATAATTATGAAATAAGTAACAGAAGCAGGATAGATTATGTAAATACTATGGTACATTAAAAAAATGGATTAAAAAGCCCCTAAAAAGATACAACAAATGATTATATCAGAAAAGACGGATTAGGGGTGCTGTTTTGTTCTTTTCAAAACTTTTTAATGAGTTTTATAATCTTTATGCATATTTTCTGCTAAAGAAAATGTTATAACCGTGCTAAGAAAGAAAAGATTTCCTCTTGACCTTCTACTGGTTGACTTACCTCCAAAGCCTGGTTACTTTGGTCCTGGTAAATATTACTAAGGTTCACACCAATTTCTAACTTTCTCAAGTATCAGCTTAAGAAATATCCTAAAAATTAAACACGTCATCTCTTTTTTCACCTGGCGTTCTGACCCATTTCGGGTTTGCACTGATTCCAAAGTGCAGTCCAAATTAGAGAGCTTCAGAGTTAAATTCGTGTTTAAATATGGTTTACATGCTAACAGGTACACTGAAACTTCAGGCCTCTCATCTTAAAAGCAGGGAGGCAGCCAGCCAGCACTGGCCGCCACGTCTTTAAGAGTAGGGCAACCTAAGGATTCTCAGGCTCCTTATTTGCCAGAACAGAGCCAGGGACCCGCCAAACCCATCACTCACTGATCCTCAGTATCCTGCAGAATCCGAGCTACCGGGGCGGGGGGGGGGGCTGACTCTGGAGATTTCCAGCCTGGGGGCTGAAGTCTCAAGTCAGAAGCTGGCCTTGTTTTGTGGCTTGGCTTATCGTGGGCACACCTGACCCAGTCCACCAATCCAAAGACACAATAAGCACTGTACGGTTAACAGACAAACAAGCAAACAAATGAACAGACAGAGCACATGTCTCCACACCTGGGGGAGATGCATGAATGCAGTGCTGCTGAGCGCAGATACCACAAAGGGGGAGGCTGGCAGGAAGTCACTGGGTCTCCCCAGAGTCTCCTTGCTCACACAGCATGGCAAGTTCACATGTCCCTGAAACAGGTAGTGACAGGTGCCTTGTGGCCTCTCCCTGTGTGGCCCATTGATGAAGTGAGACGATGCAACACTGGTCTACGAGACCAGAGCCAACCCTCCAGGGACACTCACCCTTGTCGTTGGTGCCTCCCACATACTTCATGACTTTGGGCATTGCTTCCCGTAGAGCCTCATCCACAGGCTTATCTGTCACCTCCACTGTGGCAAACTTCCCGCCTTCACAGTCCCTTTCCTCATAGGAGACATCTTCCTAGAGACAACAAATACACAGCGCTTAGGAGATGCAAGGCAGCAACCTGTGATGACTCTAGAGGTAGGAGAAGTCCACTTACAAGAGGTACAAACTTCTAAGGAACTTTCCATAATAAGCCTGGGTATGGTGACAGCAGAAGACTGCAGACTGCATATGAAGGACCAAGAGAAATAGATTCTCGGATTTCTTACAGATGTAGAGACAGCAGAAAAAACTTCATATAATCAATATTCTCAGAGAAATCACAGAAGACGCTGCATCTCAAACCACCCAGAACACCCCTAGAATGCTATAAAAATAGAACGTTCTGAGATCAAAGAGCTCTGGGAAATTAAAAATACAACAGAAATGAAAAATTCAGCAGAAAGGTTGAAAGATAAAGTGGAAGAAAATATCCCACAAAGTTGAGTAAAAAGGCAGAGAAGCAAAAAAGAGGAGAAAATCAGAGGGTCAAGCCAAGGGATCCAACATCTGAATAATAAGAGATCCAGGAAAAAAAGAAGAAAAAATTGCAAAAGAGGAAACAAAGAAATGCAACAATCCCACAAAACTCTAAAGCCCCAAGATTAGTGTCAATCTAGTAGCAGGACTTATTCAAGACGGATCAGAGTCATTCTGTTCACACTGTACCTCCAGACGCGATTCCTCTCCCCAACCCATCCCACTAAGTCACACCCCCTACTCTCCTGACCACTCAGCTGCACCGTCACTGCCCCCCAAATCCTTCCTCCCTGGCAGCGATCCCCTCTCTGCATTAAGTCTCTGTCCCAAGGTCATTATCCTTTCCCTATGGACCCACACAGTTCTCCTTCACCCCCTTTTCCTCCTCCTCGCCATTTGATGTCTCACGGGATACAATTTTGTATTCTTGAACGTATATTATAAGGCAGTGCTTTTCAAACTTAAAAAAAAAATCACAATCCATAACAAGAAGTATGTTTTTACATCATGTCCCATCCTGAACATACACGTTTGAAGCAAAGTTTCACAACGTTATATTTTACCTTTATGGATGGGGCGCATTCTGATACTTGCCTTTTCTTTCTGTCCTGTTTTTTCTATTCTACTCAAGTGAATTTTATTCTAGTCTACTAAAAGAAAAAAAAAACACTTGCTCTATATTGATTTTACTATCTGGTCATGGAACACTAGGGCAGTTTGAAAAATATGCTATAAAGTCTTTGTGGACAGGAACTACACCATAAAGCTTTATATGTTAGGTGCTCAAGGTATTGGTTTAAATAAATCATGTTGATTGATCGATTGATTGATTAAGGAGCTGCCTCTCTTACTAATGATTATAAAAAAACAGACACATAATAGAGGAGCTGGCTGCCCCAGGCTGGTCAAACAGGCCTCCTGTAACATCTTAGACTGAATATTCAACTTCCAAGGGGACATAAAATCTCTACAGGGCTGTGAGTGGCCTATGGAGTCTGAAAAAGTACATTTAATATTATCATTTTATATCTCGAATACAAAAATATCTGTTGTTTTTGTAATGCAAAATTAAAGGAGAGGAGTGAGAAAGGGAATCTGAAAGCAAAGCTTGAGTGCCAATTCCATAAGCTTCCCTTCCCACGGGACAGGGGAAACCGCGCCAGACCAAGAGCCAAGAGGCCGCAGAGTGGCCTTGACTCTGGGGCACCGCACCTCCCAATTCTGAGGGTTGCTGCAAGGCCCTCCCCTCGGCGAGCCTGACCCTTCCAAAGAGCCCTCCACCGCAAACTGTGTTCTGTAAGCTTGGGGTATTTTGCTTTTTCTGGCTCCATCTGTCACAGCAGAGATCAGACAGCCTTCATTTGAGGTCCCACTGAGTCTTGCCACCAACAATATTTTAAATTTCAGAAATGCCACTCTCTGAGTCACAGAATTTCAGCCTCAAAGAGGTTTTAAAGTTCACCCAAACTAACTCTACCAAAGAGGAAACGAAGGACCAGAGAGACTGAGTTGCCCAAGACCACACAGCCGCTGAATGACGAAACTGGAGCCAGAATTCCAACCCCCAAACTCTGGTCTAACGCTCTCACGAGGCTCTACGCCTCATGGGCATGAAGGGAGGGCTTTTTAACCTCTTCCTTTGGCTACTGAGGTCATTGTTTCTGATAGACATTTGTACGCCCGTGTCAAACTCAGCCCTCAGGGCACCACAGGTCATCCAGTGCAGCCTCTTTTCTTACAGATGGAGAAACCAATGACCAACGCTCCCTGGAGACAGACTTCGCTGGCTCTTTTCTTTGTTTTATCTCCTTCTTTTATTCATTCAACCAACAACTATGGAGCATCTACTGTGTGCAGAGCACTGTGCCAGGTGCAATGATACAGAGATGAAAGACACGGCCCCGACACCAGGGGAGGCATGGTCTAACGGAGGGGGCCGGGAAAACAGGTTACAATCTGACGGTATGTTTAAAAGGAGAGGAGTTCCGGGGCCGCACAGGAGCACAGAAGAGGACTACCCAGGTTAGTCTGGCGGGGCACAGGGATGTGTTTACGTGTTTGGATAGTTTAAGCTGACTTTGAGGTGCTTCCAGATCATCCAACTGGACATTCAGTCACTGATGCATTGATTCATTGAATAAATACCTATTGGGAACCTCTGCTGGGTGCTACAGATTTGGAGACTAATATGATATGGGCAGTTGGGTGGTGAGAAGAATTACACAGTTATGATACGATGCAGTAAACATCTGGTAGCTTACTACATCATATAATAGTTATCAGTAAGCTCTGACGGTTTAGGGAGGGTGATGCCAGGTATCGGGCACCACCGGGGTAAGAGGAAAGAGCTGAAGAACAGTATGATGATGGTGAAAAACTCAAGTGGTTCATTGTAGCTGCAGCAAGGACTATCCAGGAGGCCAGAGACTCTGGCAGGGGCCAGATTTCCAAAGACCTGAAGGCTGTCATAAGGAGATGGATTTTGCAACCCTTAGTCCAACGACCCCACAGCAAGTCAGTTTCCTTTACCCCAAATTAGTTTAACTGACTTTTGTGATCTCAGTATAGGATTCTGCATCCTGTAGGTACAGAATAGATAAACAACAGTTTCCTACTGTATAGCACAGGGAACTATATTCAGTGGCTTGTAGTAACCTGTAGTGAAAAAGAATACGTGTATATATACAAATGTATAACTGCATCACTATGCTGTACACCAGAAACTAATACAACATTATAGATTATAAATCAACTATACTTCAATTAAAAAATAAGTAAATAAATAAAGGAGTTTGCAAGTGTGTCTGAGTCTTGCAGGAGTGTTCCAGCTGGTTCCCTAGGCAGAAAGTCCACAGCCAGGAAGGAAACGCTGCCAAGAAAAGAACGTAGTTTGATTCCGAGAGCTAAGGCCCCTGTGATAAGTCTACCATCCTTCAAGGCGTAACTTTACCTCCTCTTCCTGAATGGTCCCTCCTTCCTCTGAACTTCAAAGACAGGTAACACTAGAGCCAGAAGGGCACTCACATATCCATCAGTTCATCTGTCCCTGTTGTAGGTGAGCAAACTGCCCAGTGTGCAGCTGGACACACGGGTGTGGAGCTCAGCCGGGGACTGGCACAGTTGGGACCATCAGCCTAAGGGGTCACTAAAGCTATGAATGAGGCTGAGATTGCCCAGGGAACATACACAGAGCACTCTACATAAATTCATCATGTTAATCAATCATCTGTCTAAAAGCAGTCATTTTACTGTTTTCTTAATCTTACCCAGGTGATCCAGGCACCCCTTTCCTTGACAGCCACGCCAGAGCTCCTCTTCCCCGGTTTTTCATTATTTCCTTCAATGCCATGGTCATTCTTGCCTCTGCCTAGGGTCTTCCTTTCCTGTCTCTGCCCGAGGAACCCCTACTCATCCAAAAGGTCCCAACCTAAAAGTCACTTCCTCACAGAGGATCCCAGTATAAAACAAGTTCCCGTGGTATTTTTTTTATAAGCCCTTCTACTTTCACAACACAGTATATTGTAATTATAGTTACAAAGGAATTATAATGGAATGATTATAATGGAATAATGTGTTTAATCTCCATCTGCAACCATAAGCCCCATGGGGTCAGGGGCTGTCAATCATTTACCAAGATGGATTTACTCATTCAATCCCTCCAACAACCCTGTGAAGAATTAAAGGTTTTCATCTTCATTTTCGGATGAAACTGGAGAATGAGAGGTTAAGTGACACACCCAAGGTACAGTAACAAGTGGTGGAGCCAGGATTCAAAGCCAGGCCATGTGGGGTCCTAATCAACACGTACGGGCTGAAAACAAATCCCATAAAGATGTCAGTTATTAATATCAGCCCTGCTTGGAGCACCCACAAGGCCCACCCAGTCCCACACAGAGAGCTGTCTGTCGTCCTCCCTCCCCAAGCGATGCCGAAGGTACCTGATAAGGTCCGCAGCTGCCTGGGCCTCCCCACCAGGTGTCTGCAATCAGCCCTGAACATCTGGTGAGCCTGAATTTGAGCTACACAGGGGACACTATCCGTTTGCCCAGGGATGTAGATAACGGTTTCTGACCCAAACTCTTTCCAGGGTGAGAGAGAGCATTTCTGAAAGAGGCTCTCTTCAAAATAGGAACACCCTGAATTTATATATATTTTTTAAAAAGGTTTGCAAGCATCTTTGAATATTTCATTCTGCCATTCTCATCTTCCAGTTGAGGAATTTCAGGGTTCAGAGTGGCTGAGAGGTTAAATAAGTAACTTACCCAAAATTACCTGGAAAACAAAGGGAAAGCTAACAGTCAAGCGTTAGGTGTTTTGTTGAACAACTTATAATTGGTTCTCTCGTTTAAATTCCAAAACAATCTTATAAGACGTGGCATTATCTTCTCTCCTGATTGGCATCAGAGAGGTAAAGTTGCCCGTGACCACGAAGCTAGTAAGAGTGGAGCTGAGGTGAGTTCTGACCTAACGGTATTACTACATTTGTAGGGTGTATTAGTTTACAAAGCATTTTCATGTTTGTAAAAAAATTTTAATGTTTCTAGCAACTCTGGGAGTAGGTGGGAAAGAGACTTCCATACCTCTTCTACCGCTGCAGGAACTAAGGTCATTTCAGGTTAAATGCTTTTGCTTCAGCCCGGTAACAATATCCCAGATGGCCCCATATTCTTATCAAACGTTGAGGGAAGATGCTTATCAGGGAGCTACACTTATCCTTAGAGACACCAAATCAGTGGCAGGTGACACTCTATTAATAAGTGGTTAGCTGGAAACAGAAACTACTAGAGTAGTTTTGAACAGAGGCAACTGGTTTTGGGGATTTTGGGTAGGGAGGGGAGAGGTAATTAGGTTTATTTAATTTTTTTAATGGAGGTACTGGGGGTTGAACCCAGGACCCAGTGCATGCTAGGCATGTGCTCTACCACTGAGTGGTACCCTCCCCTCCCCCCCAGAGGCACTTTGATTCAAGGAATTGATTTCACAGATAATAAAAGAACTGAGATGCTCAAGAGGGGACAGTGAAGCCACCCAGAGGTTAGTAAGGACACTACAGAGGTAGAGAAGGGTTATCGGTTACCTGAGCTCAGATACCTGGATCACTTGGTGAAAATCAGACCCATGGTGGCCTGTCCATCAAGAACTGGAGCCAAATAGAAGCTCCTGGTTCCAGAGGACTGATAGGGCCGAGAAGGAAAGGAACAAATACCCTGGCCTCCCTTCTTCCTGCCCTCCAATCTCCCACTGGTGCCTCCCACTGGGCAGACTTCTCTGGGAGCCCGCTGACATCTCTGCCTGGGAAACAGCCAGCAGGAGTCGGCCCTCACTCCACCCTGAGACACAGAGCAGGGCAGGGGACGAGTGAGGAAGGGATCTGGGGGCACACGGGCAGCAGACCAGCCCGGACCCTCAGTCTGCTTTGCAAATGGTCGTTAACGCCAATGATGAAGTGAGCCCCATTCTGCTACGGAAAGGAACATTCTCTGTGAGCTGTAGGTAACACGGGGATTCTTCCAGGGTCAAGGCCAACAAACACCCTAGAGATCACTGGGCCAAGTCCACAGACTGGTATGCACACCTGAATGGTACCACCGTAGACACATCCTCTGGCCCACAGTGTCTACAAACATCTGGAATCAGTTGCCAACAGTTAAAACTGACACAGTGGCCCTACACAAAACCACGACCTCACTCCTAACACTCTCTAGTCCTTCTTCCCCTTCCCTGCTTTTTTTTTTAAATCACAACACTGATCATCACCTGATGTGATGTCTTTGACTTATTTATGTGTTCATTAGTTGCTAAAACATAAGCTCCATGAAGACAGGGATGTTTGCTAGTTTTGTTCCCTGCTTTATCCCCATGGCCTATAAGAGTGCCTGGCCCACACCTGGCACTCAACAGTTATTTACTGAGTGAATCAATGTTAAATTGAGAGATTTCACATGAAGAATCTGGACTGCTGGTTTTCCTTAAAAAGCTGGCAACCTGGGTTCACATTACAGCATGACAACTGCCTGGAGTTACCCTCTGGAGGTGGGGACCTGAGTTCTCTCTCTCCAACGTGCCTCAGTCCCCACCTTGCCTTATAGTCTAAAACTGCCAACTTCACTCATTTTCAATATGTGCCCGGCTGCTTGTAGGCATTTAAATAGGTCACCCTTGATCAGGGTTAAACTGCTCATTCTACACACAGCTAAGGGAAGAGATGTAGACAGATGAAGTGACAGGCCTCTGGCTACAGCTGCCTCAAGAGTCCAGACTCTAGGTGAGGGCTTTTGTGTGACAGTCATTGTAACAGGTACCCAAAACTTGGCCGCCAGACAACACAGTACTTTAACAAAGAAGCACTGGGCAGGGAGCTGGGCATACAGCACGAGGTGCACAAAGTACCTGCCCGCAAGGAGGTTAGCATCTAGGGGAGATTCCTTGTCTTCAGGGGGCTGTCCAATTTGCCTGAGTTAGCACAGATGTCAATTTGGGAGAAAACAGCAGTCATGCCCTCCTCATGCATTCTGTATTCTAGGCACCAAGTTCTGGACGTTCTATTGGCTAGCAAGCCATTTTACAGCTCTGGGCCTCTGCACACGCTTTTCTTGTTTCTGTGCACTCCTGCACATCCCTGCGGCCCAGCCGAAGGCACTTTGTCTGTAAAGGCCCCACCATCACCCGCTGGCTGAACGGACTGCTCCTTCCTTCCCCTGCGCGCCCGGCCTTGCACAGTTATCCGTACACGGCGCGGATCACGTTCTTGTATACTCAGTTCTCCACTAAGGAAAGTCTGGGTGTGTCCTAAAGACAAGCACTTTTTCCGGCTTTTCTGCAACCGAAGGCCTCTCTAAAAAACACTCAGCGCGTTTGGAATGTTTAAATGGACGAACTGCATTCAACAGGCACGGTGCATCTCGCTAAGCTGGGGTTGTCCCTCTTTCCCGGTCCAAGTGCTGGGCGTCGGAGCCCAAGGCAGAAGCCTGAACGCACAGTCCGGGGCACACTTCTGTCCCCACTTGCCCCCCAGGACCCGCTCCTGCCGCGATCAGGGTGCGGTGGGCGCACGCCTCTTCCGGTCCTCGGCAGCCCGGGGGGCCTACCTTGCCCCCTTTGCTCAGGACCTGCCAAGGCCACGTCTCTACGCTCCCGAACAGCGAGTTCCTGATCATGCCCAACATGGTGTCGCCGAGGCGCTCCGGACGCACGGGCGG